GAGGGAGTTGCCACCATTGTCCTTAATCCAATATTCCCAGAATTTACCACTCCACCCCAAGTGAATACCCCGGGCAGTTCCTCTTCAGAACCTCCCTGCTTAATCCCAGTAAACCTGTCCTTGTTCATCCTCTGAGAAGTTTTACTGTCTCGGTTCTAGAGGGAAATTAGGTTTTACATGGATACCAAGAGATCACGTTCTAAGTTAATATTAAACATAACTGAATAATCAAATAAGGAGCAGTTCTGACACTCTTAAAGTTTTATGAGGCCTGTAAGCCTTTTGGTCCCCAACAAGCTACTACATCCATAAGTATAGGTCAAGTTCATCAAATTTACATTTGTTTCCTTTATCAAAAATTGTTTTTAACTTCTTCTAGTTGAGTAGTGATCAAGCCATCGAGGCTAGGTCAAATGGGTACTATCTGCAAGTTTGGGCGTTCTTGTGCATCTCCCCTCACTTCATATCAGCTGGATGCTTCACTCTCAGCCCTAGCCCTCCATAGCTATGTCCTTGTCCATGAGCTCAGGAGACCCCAAGTTGTAAATCAGACCAACCAGCCCTTCCTCTTCTCTCTCTCATCTCCAGGTTGACGCGAGTCAATGAAATGTGGTCTAACACAGCCCATATATTCATTGCTGCCTTTCCCCCCTCTTCCACTCACCAGTAGACAGATGCAGTTGCCAGCAAGCTTACATGGCTGCTTGTGTGATCCCTTTGCATTTCAGTGTTGGGAGTGGGGGTTGTCCTGAAGGGATTTGATTGCTTGGCTTGATGTCTCTCTGGCAAACACCTTGTTTGTCCTTGTAGTAGCCAATCAGACTACTGTTTTTGTTTTTAATTTTGTTTTTTCATGCTGGTCTTTCTTTCAAGACGTACCTTCATTTCGAGGTCATCATCTTTTGACTCAAGTTTCAGAACAGAAATCCCAGCAACTTTTCCCCATAGCCCATCACCAGGGGGTGCAGTCTAGAAGCTCAATCTTTTGGTCAATTAGGCCTTAGCCTAGGTCAAGTTTTTGGTTTGCTCTGCCTACCCCCACCTCAGCTGCCTCTGCTCATTTTAGAGAACTTAATCTGTACCTTTTAGAGAACATAACATAGTCCTAGAGCCCTGGTTTGGCGCTATAGGATAAACACTGGACTGCTTACCATAAGGCTGGTCATTGAGACCCACCTGCCGCTCCTCGGAAATCTTACATAGTGGTGCTGAGTCGGAATTGACTCAACAGCACTTAATAACAACAGCAACAGAGAAGACAAATAAGGAAGAGATATTTAATCATCCATATTCCCAAAACCAGGTTGTGTGTGACTGTTTAATTTGGTGAAAGTATACATAGTCAAAGATACACCATTTCAGTGCTTACTGTGCAGTTCAGTGACACTGATTACATTCTTCAAGGCATGCTACCATTCTTACTGTTCTTTTCCAAATTATTCTACCACTGTTAGCTCAAACTGCCCCCCAAGCCTCCCACTTGTCAAATTGCATTTGTATCACATAGGCAGTTCTTTAAAAGAGCATCATGGTCACAGTAGGCATAGTTTACTAAGTAATACAAACAATTTTGGGGTCCAGAACCAGTTTTTTAAATTTCAACACACTACTTTCTTTTCTCCCTATATCTAACTCACCAGCTGCTCCTTAGAAACCAGATATGAGTTGCAGCTCACTAAGCAGCACTTCACAACACCACAATAACACACACTTATGATTAAGTTGTTTTTTCTAGTGTTGACCGTGGAACTAGTGATCTGTTCTGCAACCCTTCACTCAATTCACAATAAAAGGTTAAAAAAAATTTTTTTAATTGGAATCATTGTGAATATATGTGAACTTATAAACATTTCCAAAATCCCATCCCACCCATTTTCCTCAAAAAAAAAAAAAACTGACAAAAACTTTTATTTATTTATTTTGTTGGTCTTCTGCGTATGTCCTAATGTGTCCATTTTTCTTCTGAATGTTTTCAGTTTATGTTTGCAAAGGTCATTTAGAAATCCTCATACATAAATTTGTCTGAAAAGGGTTTATTTCCCTAGCATATGTTAAAAGTAGAATTCAAGAGCGTGACTATTTTTAAGGTTTGGGGGCAGATCGGAAGAAGAGCCAATTGTTGTTTGTTCCTCATTCTGTTCTTCGTGCTCCCCCATGCCTGATGGAATGAATGAATGACTGTTACTAAAATGTTGTCCAAAAGCATTGTGCCAATGTCCACTTTAGCCAGCAGTGAGAAGAACACTGCTTTCCTCAAGTGTGAGACCTTTTAAAATGGCTGTCGTGAGTCTCTTCTGAGGTTCATCTTAGATGGCTGTTGATAGCCTTTGACTACTCCCCTGTTCCTTCCTCTTTTCCTCTGTCTCAGTTTCCTTTCTCTTCTTCCCCCTTTTCTTTTTCCCACCTCTTTCATGTCTGAGTCTTGGTTCTTAGGCCCGGCTGTAAGGCAGAGTCACACATGGGCTGGCTAAGAAGACAGGGCCAGCCAAGCAGAACCTCTGGGTGTAGCCAGGGACTCTGAAGAGTGGGCATGATCTGCAGGTCTTTCTACGTGCCTGGTCCCTGGACTACTCCCTGGAGACACTGCTTGAGGCCTTGCTCAGACACACACGTTGGGACCTGCAGACTCTGCAGGTCTTGGCAAAAACTAGAGACATTTCTAGCCATGTTGCAAGTACCATAAATTTGAGAATTTGGGGAAACTTTGTTGTTCTCTTATAGTAGCTTTGGCCCGTGCAGTGGTCCTGGCCTTATAGGTCTTAGTCCTGCAGAGTTGTTGTTGTTAATTACTTTCAAGTCAGTTCCAGCTCATAGCAACTATGTATAGGGTTTCCAAAGAGTAGATGGTGAATTTGAGCTGCCAACCACGTGGGTCCAGTACTTAGGGTAGTTTCCCCCACAGGGCTGGGCTTCTTTCCTTCCTGAAACATCTGAATTTTAACCCCTACCAGGTCTCTATTCTTCTTCACCTTGTCCCTGCCCTCTCAAGAGATTCAAAGTTCTGTAAAAGTTCAAGGTTCTGTCATCTCGCCCTCCCCTGCTAACCAGCTGCTGCCTGGGCCTCATTTTGTCTAGGCCAAAGATGAGCACATTGGAAAGAAGGTGGTCCCTGGGCTTCAAATTTCTTAATGATTGGGAAGCTAATGGTACTTACTATGAGCATCTGATCTCTTTCCTATGAGCATCTGATCTCTTTCCGTATGCCATGAATGTTTTGTTTTATTTTGGCTTTCCGCTTAAAGGACGATTCAGGAGCTGAGAAGGAGAATGCATCTGACCTGCAGCAGAACCCCTCCTTGGCGGGAAGTCGGAATGGGGAGGAGAACATCATCGATAACCCTTATCTGCGGCCTGTGAAGAAACCCAAGATCCGCAGGAAGAAGTGAGTTGGAGGCTGGGGTCCAGAGGGTGTCTCTGGCCACCTGAGGTAGTCTTCTCTGCTCCTTGGCAGAAAAGAGAGCTTCACCAGTGGGCTTGAACCTTGGGGGACACTCCTCTGGTGAGAGGCAGTATTTTCCCTTTTCTTCTCCCCATTGGCTCCCTTAGATTCCTTAGCAGTTAAGTGTCCTGTAGCACAGGGACCAACTTCCAGCCCAAGAGTTGTTGTTCCCCACAAGGAGGAGAGTAGGTGGGACCCCTACCACACAGGCCCATGGATTCCTCTTCTTTCTAGGTCCCTCTCGTGAGCTGAGAAGGAAGCCTGGCTTACACAGGGACACGACACCACCCTCCTGGGTGAATTAAGGCACTGGAGGGAAGAAAAAAGGGTGGCCTCCTCATGGCGGAGCTGAGGCTGCCAGGGCATGATGGGGCGTGGTTTTAATAGCAAACTTTACATTGCGATGGCCTGTTGCCACTGGGTGATTGGGCTGAGGAAGATAAGCAGGTAATAATGAAGAGTCTTCAACAACCGGGCCATACATAGTGTGGGATATAGGGACAGCTGTATTTTTTAATCACAGGACTTGATTCCTTTGAAGCCTGGAAGACCAGGGAAGGCGGCAGCAGAAAAAAGGGTTCTTTGTCTGCTGTGCTTACTGCCAGAAAGACTGTTTGCCCAGTTTGTATTGCAGGAGACCTGGACCCCTTTTAATGACATACAAGCAGTTTGTGGTATGAATTTGTTGTCTCAGAAAATCATTGTATTTGACTCTTCACCTGGGCCCCAAATGCTCTGTTGAACTGACAGAAAGTGGCTTTGTCCTTCCTCACCATGTTGGCAGCAGTAGGCAGTGATCTGCTGGATGGCTCATTGGTCCCAGCTTTGATCTGGGATTATAGAGATTAAGGAACTATGGGGTAGATGTGTTACCATTGAAGAAAATGACATGCCAGGGCTGCACACTCTCCTCCTGAGAGATTTCCTGCTCATGTCCCTCTGTGGAATATGTGCTTGGCAGCCACCAGGTCATAGGCCCTCCAGGGAAAAGAGGTTTTCTCTGACAAGGGCCTAGAGCCCTGGAAAGCATGTTATTACTTGGAAAAAGCCAGATTTTAAACAACAGGACACAGATTTGGCAGGGTGGAAGAGGGCTGGGCTTGACTTTGTATTCTGAAAGCAGGACAGTCTGACTTGGCTTCTGGAAGGCTGATGTGGACAGAAACCATGTTCCCACCTCATGTCCATAGTGCGCTGAGGAGCCGAGGGACAGAGCCAGGGAGTCTTCCAGAGCCAGCTGAATCCCTCACCCTTGGCCTCCTGGGAAGAAATGACTTCATTCTTGATGTGCCCTACAAACCATGAAACGGGTTTACAAGGAAAACACTGGGCAACTTGATACCCTCTGGCTGTCTCAGAAGGAAGAAATTATCAAACCAAGTCCAAGGACGAAAGATCCCAGTAACACCTGGAAGTTCAATGCAAATTGTCCCCTAGGCCAGAATCGTAAGGTCCATGTTTGAGAATTTTAACTTATACTCCCACTTGGTGTCAAGTGTCATCTTTCAATTTTCTGTCATCTTGATGAATTCGAGAGACTCAGTGAGCAGACAGCAAGCTCCATGTTCCTCTGACCACTGTTTCCAGAAACTTCATCCTTTTGCCTGGAAGAAGGAGCTGCTTATCAGTAATTGAAGAGGGGATGCTAGTAAGGTGGTCGGATTCTCCAACCTGGGACCAAACATGCGTCTTTAGTGACCCAGAACTCTTCAGCTGAAAGCAGTTAGACTGGAACCACTCCTGGGTACATGGTGCTGGACCTCTGCTGACCCCTTGGGGTCTGTGCCACTGTTCTTGGTGATTCTTGGCCTGGTGAGTGTACATAGAGTCCCAGGTTTAAGCCGTGGCAGATGCAGGACTGAAATCTAGCTTGCTGCTCTCACTGCCCTTGGAAGTAGTCATCCCAGCCAACATGGCTGCATCTCCTCACTCATTTGTAGCATCCTGGACAAGCCTGTTGAAAGCCCATGTGCTAAGAAGATGGGCTTTGGGAAAGCGTGGCCACATTTGCCGGTGAGATTGCAGAGGCGGTACTACTGTCATTATGGCCCAGATGGGAGACACTGAGGAATGGTTAGGCAACTTGAAACATCATTGTGTGAAAACTCTGCATACTTCTTGATGTATATTTAAAATCTCTATTTTTTTTTTTTTTTTAGTATATATATAACTTGGGAGCTTTTTTGGGGAGGGAAAAAGTGGTCCACAGAGCCAGATTGAAAGTGTGATAAGTGCATTAATAAAAGGCCATAATAAAAACTTGGTAAATGAAACAGAATGCTGAGCTTCAAACTTAATTTGTGTTCACAAGTTACAGAAATGATTAAGGCGGTGGACAGTCCTTCTGTTGGGCTGGGTTACACCAGAAATGATGCCTTTCTTTTGGGAGATTTCAAGCACATACACAAGACAGGGAAGCACATGAGCCACTGTAGACCCATCACCCAGCTTCAGTGGTTACTAACACTGTCAGCGCTGCTTCATCTGTTTCCTTTCCTTTTTTCCCTTATTTAAAAAAAAAAAATTTCTGGAATATTTTAAAATAAGTCCCAGGCATGTGCTGTCCAATTTGTAAATATGTCAGTATGCTTCTGACCTTTTTAAACCTTGTATTTTGAAATAAATATAGATTCACAGGAAGTTGCAAAGGGGAAAAAAAAGTACAAGGAAGCCCCATGTACCCGTCACCCATTCCCTAGTGGTACCAAAAAAAAAAAAAAAAAAGTACAGTATCAAAACCAGGAACTTGACATTGATATAATCCACAGACCTTATTCTGATTGGCCCGTCTGACTTGTACTCATAAAAAGCCCAGTGGTACAGTAGTTACGGCTTCCTCCTCAGGAAAAGACATGGCCTTCTAGTGCCACCAAGATCATAGCCTTGAAAACCCTGTGGGGCAGTTCTGCCCATCACATAGGATTGCTTTGAGTTGGAATTTGGCTCACGGGACAAGCACTCCTTTGTGTGCGTGTGTATGTTTGTAGTTCTACACAATTTTATCACATGTAGATTTGTATACTGACCACTACATTCAAGGTCCAGGACAGTTCCATCAGCACAAGGCTCCCTCATGCTGTGTCTTTATAACCACCTCTCTTATCCCTACCTCTCTTCTTTCCTGAAGGAGCTCTGGTAGCGTACTGGGTATGAGTCGGGCTGCTAACCTTAAGGTCAGCAGTTCGAAACTGCCAGCTGTTCCATGGGAGAAAGATGAGGCGTTCTGCTCCTATAAAGATTTACAGCCTCGGAAATCCTGTACAGTCGGAACCGACTCCATGGCACATAACCACCACCACCTTCTTTCCTTATCTTCATCCCTAGCCCCTGGTAACCATTATCCTCCATTTCTGTGATTTAATTTCATGCATGTTGTATAAATGGGGTCATGCAATCTGTAATCTTTTGAGATGGACTTTTTTTTTTAATCTAACATAATTCCCTTGGATTCCTGGTGTAGAATCAGCACTGGACTGCAAACCACAAGGTCAGCAGTTCAAGCACATCAGCTCCTTCTAGGAAGCCCTGTACAGGGTCACTATGAATCAGAACCAACTTAATGGCACTTTAACAACATAATTCCCTTGAGATGGGTATACTGATAGTTCGTTTCTTTTGATTGCTGTGTAGTATTCCATGGTGTAGATGTTGTTAAGTGCCGTGGAGTTGCTTCTGACCCATAGCAACCCTGTACAGGGTTTTTGAGGCTGTAAATCTTTAGGGGAGCAGAGAGCCTCATCTTTCTCCTGTGGAGCGGCTGATAGTTTTGAACTGCTGACCTTAAGATTCGCAGCCCAATTCGTAACCAATACGCTACCAGAGAGGTGTAGATGTACCATAGTTTAATTCACCCATTGAAGGGCATCTGGGCTGATTCCAGTATTTGACTATAATGAATAAAGTCTATACAAACATAAAGGTTTTTGCATAAACATAACTTTTCATTTCTCTGGGATATATGCCCAAGAGTAAATTGCTAAGCCTTTTCCATAGGGTTTGCATCCAACCACCAGCTAGGTGTGCCTCAGAAACCTTATTCAGGATCATTATAAGTCGGAACCAACTCAACAGCACTTAACTAACCTAAAGGTTGGTGGTTCAGACCTACCCAGCAGCACCACAGAAAACTTGGTAATCTGCTTCCATAAAGATTACTGCCTAAAAGGTCTTTATAAGTCAGATTCAGCTTAATTTTTTTTATAGTAACTGTATTTTTAGCTTTTGTTTCTTCAGCAAGTCTTGTTTTATAAGTGTCAAAGTGACACTACCGTTTTACATTCTTGTTAGTAATAATGCGTGATCATTCTCCACATCCTCACCAGTGATTGGTGTTAATTGTTTTTTATTTCAGTCATTTGATAGGTGTATGGTAACACCTCTTTGTGGTGTTAATTTGCACTTCCCTAGTGGCTAATACTGAGTCCTGGTATGGCACTGTGAATTAATGCACTGGACTGCAGTTTGAACCACAAGGTCGATGGTTCAGGTCACCAGCCACTCCTAGGAAACCCTGTACTGGGTCAGTATGGGTTGAAACTGACTCAACAGCACTTAACAAGTGACTAAATCAGAGTCCTGGTGTGGCACTATAGGATAAGCACTACACCACTAACCACAAGGTCAGCGGTTCAAACCCACTAGCCACTCCTCAGAAACTCTATAACAAGGTTGCTATGAGCACTTAACAGTGGCTAATACAGTGTCGAGCTTCATTAAAATGCCCATTTCCTAATGAGATTGGTTTACAATGTCTAATAGACTCATGCTCTGGATATAAGAACTGTGTTGGATACGTGGTTTGCAACTATTTTCTCTATACAGCCACTCTGTAGCTTGTTTCTGAGGGTCCCTTTTTTGTGTGTGTGTATGTGTGTGTGTGTGTGTTTTTTTTTTTTTGTATAGCAAGTTAATCTTTTTGATTTACCATTTTTTTCCTTTTATAGATTGTGCTTTTAGCATCAAGTCCAAAAACCCTTTGCGTAATCCCTAGATCCCCAAAATTGTGTTTTGTACTTTTCTATTTTTCCATTTCAGTTTGTGATCCCATTTTGAGCTGGTTTTTATACAAGGTGTTAAGGTTTAGATTGAGGTTCACTTTTGAGTTTGCCTAAAGCCCATGGCTTCAGCATCATCTGTTTGAAAAGGCTACCACTTGTACCATTGAAATACTGTGACTTTTGTCAAAAATCAGTTGGACATGTTTGTGTAGATTGATAGACGTTTTTAACATAACCTCAATGTCATTAC